AAAAGTCATCCAGAAGACCGTAAAAACGGTAGCGACGCTATAAAATCGGATCAGGTGTGCGAAACAAAAATAAGACAAAGGATTTTGCGTTGATGGCGATGCTCCCCAGTTCCATCTGTCCTGTGAGAATAGCGGAAACGCGAGTACCGACGCCGTCGGCTGAAAGCTGCAAAAATGAGGATGCTCGCGGCGAACGCAGATACTTCGCGGAATTCGAGACATAAATGTGGGTGCAAACATCGCCATTTTTCACTTTACGTTAAGAAAGACTCGTGACATTATGCGACAAAAACCGTAAAAAAATAACTCAACTTACTAAAGAGAATAAAAAATGAGAAAAAGAACGGAGAGAAAGAGTAACTGAAAGAAAGAGGGGTGAAACTGGAAGAAGCTATTAAGGACGCAAGCTTAACAAAAATACGACACGTTTTGCATACTTGCAAAAGTTTGTTCGTCGGGTTTTAGAAGTGATGGCTATAAGAAGTCTTATTGCAATTGAAAAACATAAATTTTAAAATTTACTTACTTGAATTTATTGAAGACATTGGAGGCAATGGAGTGGTAAAAATTCAAATTATTTCTATAAAGAATATGCAGTATGATAAAAATATATTCGCAAAGCATATCTTATAAAACATATATCTAATAACTCTTAACAAACATATTTATTAGATTAAACTATTTACTACATAAAATAGAAAATAATGTTTAAGTCTTCCGCGATAAGCGAAAATAATTTAAAGTGCTTTTTATTTTTATAGCTGGACTTTTCTTCATACAATTTTTATACAAATGCTTTAAAGTTAACGACTTTAAATATGAAATGCTGAATCTTCTCCGAGCACATTCCTTCTCCTAGGAAGTACGACAAGATTGTTCGAGCAGTTTGCATCGCAACTTTCGACTTAGCTAGTAAGAGCTCGCGGAATTTCGTCGCGAAGGGGTAGTTGAAGGAATTCGCGGTACAAGCGCACGGAGATAGCAGTCATTTTTCACTTCGTCGTTAAAGGAAGGATGACACCGCCACACCGAGCACATTGTGAAGAGCGTAAAGTGCCCCCGATCCAACAGGAGCGACGCTTTCGCGGCGCATACATACGTGCCGCGCTAGTAAATCGTTTAATGCGAAACTCCGGAGCGACCGTTTAAGCGGCCGAAGGACGATCTCGGCACGTTCCGCCGTGTTTGCACTTAGGCGAAGATGCACCTCGATTTTATCGTGCCGATGTAATCTGGAGCGCGGGCGCTGCTGGCAGCCCAGCTGGCACGGCGGGATGTCAAGGATGCGAAGGGAGCGGGAGATAGGATTATTTAAGGTGCAATTAAAACGGGACACTCATCTACGTCCGTTGCAGAATTAATGGAAAGTCCGCGAGGCGAACACGTTTTCGTCGACAATTAGAAATTTATCGATAATGATCGCGAACTTTCTCGAAACGCCGTATCAGATTACAACGATCGCCTATGTTTACCTGAAAATTATACTTAATGTTCGTACCGTGAAGTTAATTTAATGCTGAAACAAGTGAATTATTTATTTCAAGCGTCATTTTACATATGTATTTATCCAGTTAACCGAAGCAATCAATATACCAATCTACTTGTCATGCTGAACACTTAAATTTCTAATGAAATGAATAAGCTGTTCTCGATAATTTGATAAATATATCGTCATAAATTATAAATTCCAATCGAACAGTATTAATTATTACATGAGTTGGAAAGTGAAATTGTAAAAACTATTTTTCGTTTGTGATTGCGAAAGCAATCTGGTGGCATGCTATGACGCATTCCTCGACGTACTATAAAAACAAATTTTACTTCGGATTTTTTTCGCAATCTGTCTTCGTCGACAGATTCCACTGCCCGTGTGTCATTCACTAGCAATTGTGATAAAGTTGCGCGCCGCAGGAAATGTGGGACGCATCCGGACGTACACGAAAACTGTATCGACGGGCGTTTGCACGCTGGATTACGGACGTAGGCCTTAATTGACCAAACGCACTTTTGTTTCGTTCGATTCGTTCATACAATATATACTACGTCATAGCCGCAGACCAGTTCGGGTCGAGCGACGGTTTATGGGGTCGTGCCGCGGTTCTATTTTCAGGAAATTGCAGTTTGCATTTGGATTTAGCGTAACTGCTCCTTTCACATTTTGGTTCCGTCACATTCGTAAAGACGCAAAACGAAACGTGGCGTCCGACAACTCTGTTGGCACCGCTGACGACTTTAAAATAACATTACATACGTGTGTAGGACGCGGCGATGCAATCTACGTGGAACGTGCCGGGATAAGCAAACGACCTGCTAACGATTGAAACAAAAGTCCAGCGTAATTCTGCACTGGCGTTCCTTAGACATAAAATTCCAGCACCACTAGAAGCACATTTATCACTTGACTTGTGGGAGAATTAATGACCTAGTTTTTCGTGGATTTTTTTTTAACATTGTACTTGTAACAATATCATTACAGAGAATTTTTTATTTTCAAATATAAATTCCGAATGTAAATGATTACTTTTATCTTGAGTTGAAGCTTTTATAATAATTAATTATTAATAATATAAAGTTAAAATAAAAACGTTCTTGTATTATGCATTGGACTTTCGTCATCCGAATACTTAATTATATCGCACTTCTACCTGTGATAACTCGTAGTAGCTCTTTGACCTTTTAAATTGATTTTGCAATCACTGAGTGTTTTCTTATTCCATTACATTGTTTTCTTATTACATATTTAACTTTTTCTTCTCTTATCTGTAATTGTGTTTCACTGTTTCGGTCTCATATTTCCATCTTCACAGTCACTTTTATGTAGAATACACTTTCTTTTCCTTGACATGTTAATTAACTTCTTTCACTTCGCTCAATTCCATTTATTCATTGCAGTATCAAAAGAACAATGAAAAATTCACGGAAACGCGTATTTCTATGACGTGTATGATGACAGAATCAGCGAAAATTGTTCCAAATCTCTGAAAATTTCATAGATACTGTTAAGTAGTATGTATTTAGCTACGAGATCATCTTCATAATTGCAGCGCTATTCCAGCGCTATCGCCGCCGCCGCCGCCGCCGCAGTGTAAAGCGCATAGTTAATTGGCGATTAAACTGCATGAAAGTCCTCCGAGAGAATTAATGTTCAATGCGGACGGTGCGCGGCATTATATCGTTCTTGTGCTCAACGCCTCGATCATTATAAATAACCCCACCTTTTTATCGCGCCATGCGTTATCGTCACGCGACATCATAACCGGCAATGTCTCGGTCTTTCACGTGACTGAAATTCTATTTCACCTTACGATATATGGCCCTTGAAATATTTTTTTAGTTTATACACATTTTTCCTATGCGTTTTTTTTATGTTCGTACAATTTAAATTTTTTTCCCATTTTTCTTGCTACATAAGTTTATTTTTTATTTCAATTTATTATTAATTTATTAAATTAATTACTTAATTATGATAATTGCTCTTACTATCGGCAAACAAGACATTTATGCCTAATTAATTATTTTCACATAGCATGCATTTCGTAATTATACATATAAAACGATAATGAATAAGATGTTTTATAAGTGTGGATAAAATTTATCATTTATATTGTTGGAATATATAATGTGGACAATCTCAAGAACTAATTTTTAGTATTAAAGACTTGCCTCGGATAAAACGTATTACGCACAATGCCAATATTTCGAGCAATCGCGATATGAACGGATTCGGAAACAACTGTATTAGTCAACATGTTTCTCTGGACAACAGACCAGAATGCGCCGCTAGCAGTCGTCTGCAGAATCACCCGAATGGCTTTAATTAACTAATTCTGTTTTCATTCGATTCGCTTGCGTATATTCCAACTGTCGCACTGAAGCGAACTGTGCCCGAGCAAAACATTGATGCTCGATCTATAAACGGCCGGTGTGCCCGGTTAGGAATCTCAAATCATTTGCATTGCAAAGTAATTGTCTTCGCGTATAAAACACTAAGCAAACATTTTAAGTATTCTTCAACTCGATTTTCGTTTCTCGCTCTTGAAAAACATCGAGCTGACATTTTTGTTCTCGATATAATTGATTTTTCTTTCTAATTAATTAAAAGTGACTAGCATTCTTTAACAAGATCAGAGTATTCGAAAATGAATGCTTGTCAATTTTCTTTTCACGTGCACTTTGAACGCGAGGGTTGATAATTGAGTACATGCGAACGCTGTGTAACGATAGCGTTTAATTAGCACCTAAACTCGCGATCGATGTCAGACTCCACCGTCGGACTTTTCAGCTTATTCGCAAATTATACAACGACCTATAATCAGGGATATTAATTTCACTAACCGTTTGTCGCCACGATTTCTAAATAAGGAACTTTTAGATGTTACAACATCTTATAATTAACTGGAAGACATATCGTTTTGAAATTTTTAACGGTGCATGTGCTAGATATACGATAATGGATCCTGTACGTGCGTTACACATCTCTGGTATAATATGCCTCGTGTTCGCGGAATTAGAGCGCGATAATCAACAAAAGCAATATTTCCTAGCTGTGTTGTTACCGCGATCAGATAAACGTTAATGTTAGCAATTAGCATTATAACCTTTTAATACGTTATATATTTAAAATAAATTATTCCTTTGGAATAACATTGAACGATGAGATGTCTCGAGACATATATGGAAAAAAAAACAAAAAAACGACATTTGACTGAAATGTAATCGAACGAACAAGCTAAAGACTCCTTTGAGAGACAATATCCGATTATTAAAATATGAAGGCAAATGAAAGCCAAACGCGATTAAAATTGCAAAATTGTGCGAAGTTAAATTAAATACGCTCTCCTATTAATTTAAATGTAAATATATATTTAAATTAATTTTGCGCTGTCAATCGTGTTCGGCTCTTATCAGAATACAATTCTGCGTGCGTGATAGTCTTTAATGCGTATTAATTATTCACACTGAAATGCGATAAAATACAGAAAACGTAGATGTGAACTTACCAGTACGTAGACCGCGAACGGCATAACGAGCACCGCCACAAGCAGATCGGCGACCGCTAAGCTGACGATGAAGTAGTTGGTGACAGTCTGCAGCGCCCGCTCCTTCACCACCGCCAGAATGACGAGCACGTTACCGAAGAGCGTCAAACACGGCACGATCACGAGTATCAGGGCCCACCAGCTGTTCGCGTTCGACTTGTCGACGGTCGCGTCGCACTCGCCCGGCCTGATGTCACCCGCGCCGGCGACTATCGACGACGTGCAGTTCACGTTGCTGAGATTCAATCCCTCGTCGTAGTAGGCCGTCAGGTTCACCAAGACGCTGTAGTTCAGTTGGTTGATGTAGTCGCTCAGATCCTCGAAGACGAAGAGGTCGGTCACGCTGCCGGTGTAATTGTCCGTGCCCGGCGTGGAGTACGAGGACGAGGACTCCGCGAAGGACGAGGAGGCCGATGACAGGCTCGTGACGGCGGCAGCGGTCGTCGAGTCGTCGAACCAGCTCGACTCGCTGCCGTCGGCGCCGCTGTCGCTCGTCGTGAGAATGTCGCCCAGAAGGCCCACCATCTTCTCCTCCCGCGCGGTCGTGGAGGCGTCATCGACGGCGTCGGCCGTTCCTCCGTGCGGCTCGTCCGGGTGTCGGTGCTCGCGGGTCAGCGAGAGGTTACGAAGGATCGACTTGACGACCGACTCGTCCGTTCTCGCCTCCATCGCGGTCGATCTACGGTGGTCGACCTTATCTCCGTAGCCGGACGCTGGCACCGATCACGAGATTTTAGAACGTCTCACCCGGGATTCCGTCATTTCGCCCGCACCCAACATTTCCGGGTTAACTTGTCTTCTCGACTGCGTTTAAATTCTCCGCTCTCTTCTGTTTCTCTCTCTCTCCCTCTCTCTCTCTCTCTCTCTTCCTCTCTCTCTTCTTCTTCTTCTTCTTCTTCTTTCTCTCTTTCTTTTCCTCTCTCTCTCTCTCTCTTCTTCTACCTGCCGCGTCTTGCCCGCTTTTTCTATTTCTTTTTTTGTTCGACTAGGTAGCAAGTACGATAAGACTGCTTGATCCTCTTTGCGAGCAAGAAGAGAGGTACTGTTTCCCAGCCGGCCCTTTGGCCGGCCGCACGGTTTCCAGGATCCCCGGCTTAGACGGCGTATCAGTTGAATCCTTCCTCCAGGATTTCTGTAATGGAGGAAAAGTTGCTGGTCACTATACTGGCGTTCGCTTTTAAGAGCAAAATGCGCAGCGGGGACGAAAGTTTGTTTTCGAATTTTGCCCGGAAAATTGCTGAACGGGAATTTTTCTGTCTGCAAAATGTGACCTAAAACCGATATGTCCGACCGCGTACATGCGCAAATTTAAACTATGCACTCCTAACTTTTCGGTTTAAATTTTTATGAAGGCAGCAGCAGAATGTAACAGCCTCAATTTTAGTTGCCGAAGTGTCGGCTAGTCGATTATTCGTCACTTGACTCGTAGAGGTGTACTAAAAGTGTGAGATAAATTTAATAATAGCTTATTTGACAACTTTGAAAGCAATCTTTCTTTAGGAATAACTTAAACAAATATTATTATTTATTTAAGAATTAATATCTAGATAATTGTATCTTCGTAATTAAATTTCAAATTAATTTTCCTGAAAAAATATTATTTATTTGAATTTGTGTGTACAATAAATTCATTACATTTAATTTCATTTAAAAAATTTAAAGATTAAAAATTTTTTATTGTTCTAATATTTCCTGATAAAAAAAATGACTTTAATTTAGTTAAAATTTTATTAATAAAATTTCGTAAAATTCTATCGATAATTTTATATATGTAATAATTTTATATAGCTAAATTTATATTTCTATCGTATCGATACTGCATCTGACAATGAGACGATGTCAAATTTCTCAAATGTTCTCCCCAAGTGAAATGGACGCGTTCCATTATTTCTCTCGCGATTGCACAATGATTTTAATCGCGATCAAACTTTCCAAGCAAGACAATAAATTTCCGGAAGAAAGCCATCCGGGCTATTGAGTGTCTCCTCCCTAATGAAACGTGGAAGGAAAAACTCACGGGGTACCATCTGTGCGCTGCCGGGACGGCTGCTTCGTGACGCAATCTCGGAATTAAACGAAGGCTCACGGTTGTAACTATTCCTCCGCCCACCGACGGATCGCTCGAAATGGAGTATTCCCGTCCCCGGTAGGCAGAAGATCGAACGTACACACGGGGGTAGATCGGATTGACAGATAGACGGACATTATAGTGTTTCTCTTCGAAGCGCCGTGGCGCGCGCGACGAGAGTGCGAAAAGTACAAAGAGATCCTTCGCAAGGATGACTGAACCGCACAGTCATTTGGGCTTAGCGAACCCACGGACCTGAGCTCACACACTGCGGTCATACATACACACACATACATACACACTTAAGCTCACATTTACACGTACACATAGTGATTAAGAATTTTAAAAGAGAAAATGTGAATTAGATTCGCATAATGTGTCTTGTTGTAAGCGTCGGCCAAATAAGCGTAGCTCCCATCGGCTCTTTACATTTATATTTTAATTAAAAAAAAAAAAGAGAGAAAGTGAGACGGAGTAGGATAGGTTTCAACGCGGCTACCCCGTGAACCTTCTTAAGGGCAGAAATCATTTCTTTATCCTGCGGAACCTTCCATCTCTGCCGATTCTCTGTTCTACATAGAACTCACTGGAGCGAGAGAGGAAAACGAAGTGCCGCCGTGACGATATATATCGCCCGGCGATATCTTTCAGACTGTAAATTTCTCAAGATATCGCAAGTCTCTCCGCTGACTGTAAAGTTTATATATCCGTTTGAGTGCCGAAAGCGGCCACAAAAATGCGTGCGAAAAGTGTCAAGCGGCGCGATCGCGCTTCTGTTCATATTGAAAAAACACTAACAAACGCTGTCGCGCTTCTTTTTTTGTTTTGTTACCCAACACAACATTTGAGGATAGCTCTTGTGAGACGGTTGTTTGTACAATTCAGTGTATTTTTCACTTTTTATGTGACTGAAAAATTTACGTAGTTTCATAAAAATCAACAGACTCACTGCGGGTCGCGCTTTTTGGCACACTAACGGATGTATAGCGCACAATGGCATCCGGTATCTAATTCTCGGCCTCGAAGTACGCGATATCTTCTTGCGCAGGCGGTGTGCAGAAAGATGCACACCTGGGGAAATTAATGCGCGGAGGGTGGGAAGACTCTGAAACTAGACGATTGCGAGACGAAAGATTTCTCTGGAAAATCGTTTGCTCTCTCTTTTTCACACGTCGGACGAATCTATTGCCCGTAACTATTCTTTACCGACGGCCCCATTCGTGCCTACGACTGCGAAAATTGAATTCCATTGTGGCGGCTGTTGCAGGCGACCGCAGCAGCGACTCGTCTGTTTAATGCATTTAAGTACAGTGAGGTTCGCGAATATGCAAACCGACGTATCGGCTTGTACTGTTTTGGCTTGCAAATGCTCGCCACGCGCGAGTTATTTTTTTTCCTTCCTTTTTTTTATCTTTCCTCACGCGAGAGAATGCACACAGCTAATACATTTATTTTTTACGGTGAGACGTGTCGCATATCGGCGACAAAGACTGACATCGCGAGGGAATACGAGTCATCTCGTTGACGCGTCAAGTGAATTATGCGAGAAGTTATAGGAAGACGAAATGACAGTTATCACAAATATGAGAAATATATCGACTGAATTATTGAATATATATTACATTCATAAATCAGTTTATATACATATTTCTATAAAAAATTATTGTGGTAAAAATGAATATTTTAATTGTACATAATCTTATGTTGTGCATTGAGAAGTCGACAAAGGCATATTAAAAATTTTATTCAACTTGTTCAAATAATACTTTGAAATATAAAGATAAAAATGCTTTTAAAGGCATTTATTGGTTCTAAATATGGTAGAAATCAATAACAAAAATAGCAGTGATTCAGATTTCATGAGATACGCATATAACTCACAATCAGTATCCGTGCTTGCGAAAGCTATTGGAGGGGAAAAAAACCGGGGACGATCTGGAGGGAAACAGCACGCATCTTGTAAGTCACCCCATATTCTTTTCCCCTCATTTCTTTCCTCCTCAGCACACTCGTTTTCATCGTTCGTCCTCCTTTTTGCTTCGCACGTGTTAACCTTCGTTCTACCCGCGCTTTTAGCAATGGATAAGACGAAAGCCGAAAGAGAGGGTACTGTATTTTATCAGGAGGAATATATACTCACATTGTGAAAGTCAGATCTTAAACGTCGTTTCGAAGCCGCCGACATTTTAGACTGTCTCCTCGATATCGACGTTCTGGAAATGTTCGCGAATGTCATTCCCGACTTCGTTCTTCCGTGAATTCAAAGAAAGTAAACGGAATGCCACGGCACACGAGTGTTTTATATTCACCGGGAAATAAAGTATCAGTTGCGTCGTTCGCGAATTATTTTGCTTGTGCATTCCTTTTCAGAGTTTTTTTTTATTTGAATACATTATTTAGGTAATTTTATATGATTTAACGATTTTAATTGCAAACTTTTTATGCGAATTCTATATTTTTTAAAAACACCTGATATATCTTTTTATCTTTCGTAATCGTATTACGCTTTGCAATTTATAAGTTTAAAGACTTAAAAAATCTTTAATATTTTCCGTGACATTATAAAGCCGCAAAGGATTAAATGATTATCTTGATTAATATTCTTCAGGAATATCCTAATTAATATCTTTCAGCAGCGTTCTAATTAATATCCTTTAGTAATATTTATTATTTTTTATGAAATGTCGCAGATGTTTTATGACTTTTGTCCATTGTATCACACGTAGAATACTAAATATGGATAAAGAGTTATAAAAATATTTTTTATCAGATCCTCCGCTGTTTCAAGATCTATGTAGATAATCTGCCGTAAAAATTGTAGCAGATGTTATAAATTTTCCAGTATGACTGTAGAGAAATATCGAATACCGTGTATAGATTACAAAGATTGCAACGATGAACTTGCACGTACAATTATAACATAAACGTAAGTCTAGAGTAATGAGCGCATTTATCAAGAACATTCTTTCTACCGCCCCGACAAGAAACGCAGCGTAACTTGAATATGTAAATATGCAAAGCGATATTAATCCCTAGCGAAGAACGCAGTGTTGAAATTTTGTTCCTGGCATTTGGCACCGTTGTTAGTGCCCGTTTTCTCTAAGAGTTCATGCATTATTCTATGCTTATGCGCAGAAAAGAAAATTTGACATTTCATTTTCTTCAAGTTGCGTAGTACGCGCATTAAGGAGAAATAAATGTTGCACATTCAAATATTGCCAAGTTTTAATATAAAAAGTACTTGTGTATACATGCAAGAAAATAATGCAAATTTAAAGAGTTTCATGAAAAGAGATTTATTAATCTTGAGATTAATTAATCATGAGATTATAATTAAAGACTATAGTTCTTCTTAATTAATTTTGTATTTAAATATACTACCAAGCAAGTAGTGCTACATAATGAAAAAAAAAAACAAGCTGGATAATATAAGTTGAGTAATAAAATCTGAACGGGAGCAATCAGAGCGAAACTTTTATTCGTATCTTGAGAAGTATACTGTAAAGACGTGGTTCAACTTTTTCTGAAAAAGAGCTCCATATTCTCCTCCGACAATTGGAGAAAATGTCTCTCACTTGTGCCTACCGTGTGCTGCTGAAATTGTACCTTAGAGTAAATTGTGCGGAGAACGTTCGCAATAAATCTTAAATTTTCGTTGTTTATTCTCTCAATTTAAGATAATCAAAACTGACTACAATTGTTACTTTGCGTAGCTACTTCCTAATGCTGGTTTAAGGAAAAGTTCTATTTATTTATGTATTTTTATCATATAAATCTTTCATCACAGTTTAAA